AATCATCAGCTCTCGGAATAACAGGGATGCCACCTTGGCGCGGGGCGAAAGCGAATCAGCGTTGCAGCCCTGAGGTTATTTTTACCCATCGAAGGTAACTACGCGATCCTACGACCCTTACTCCGAGTTTAGGGAAAGAATATTGACCCAAGGTAACTCTTGTCTCGCCCTCAACAGCCAATTTTTCAGTAAGGCGCTTTGGTTCAAACCCTTGGTAAAAAGGTGGCATTGCGCACATACCTGAACAACACTCTCGATGTTTGTTGCAGTAAACATGTTTTAAGTCTTGTGAGGAAGAGGAACGAGCGCGGTGGAAAAGGGTTGGACAAATATTGGGAAGTGAAACTGGGGCCCTGCGATCATGTGCTGAAATACGTAGATATGTTTTATTGCACTTGTTAGCACGGTGTTACTGATGCATTTACAGCTACTCGTAAAAGTGGCGGAATGCGGCCCACTATAGATCAGAGGATTGGGCATAGAAGCGGATAATTTATCTTGCCATTTGTTTTTCCTCGCCCTACATGCGCGCCAAAAAATAAGAAGCGATCGTATCGCCACGTAAAAGGAAAAGCCGGCCGAATAACACAACGCGCAGAGCTAGTTTATCGAACGCTGCCTGGGCCGCCGACGCTGAAAAATGTCCGACACTTGTTCGCCACTCTGTGCAACTTGCAAGGATTTCCTGAATCTAAGAGACCCATTCATCGCCGACAGCCGAGGAGCCACCGCGAAGCAGTTTTGATGATGCTAACCATGCTTCAGGCTCCCTTGTTTAGGTTGGCGCGAGATGCTGCGGGGGAAGATGTAGATGCTCGTTTACCGCGCGAGAAATTGGTGGATACAATAAACTTTCCCCGGAGACTTATGGACATGATTTCCGACGACATCAGTTATGGCTTGAAAAAAGAAAAGAAAAACCTCAGACACATAAAAATATCCATGCGTATACTTACGCTCACATACGTAGGGAAGTACAATCGCGCATTTGGAAAAAAAACACATCTGTTGCTTTTTCCTGCATTTTGAATCGGCGAAGTAGTAGTAGCTTATTTGTATCTTGAAACACGAAATGAAATAAAATTTTCCTAGTGGTCAAGGGCCTCGGACTAGCTTGGCTGAGGGGGACCAACAGGCCTTAGTATTGTTTAGCTCTTTAGTTTAATCCAATCCTGTATTCTCGAATCGGCGAGGGTTTAACATGATTTGAGCAGCATTAAAGAGCGCTTGGAAGATCAAGGCGAGCTTAGGGCGCCAATTTCGCATCAAGAGGTTTCAACTGTTCATCGTGGTATCAAAGAGCTTTTACGGTGTTGTACCAGCAAGCAAGCAAGTAGAACACCTGGCAGAGGGGGGCGAAACGAGGAAGCGGAGGCAGTGACGTGAACACTGAAATTATTGCTCAGGGTATAATTAGGGTAGACCTTGATATTTTTAATTTCGTTGTGTTCAGGGATGCTCCTTACTCAGGATAACGTGAAGATCAAATTTTAGGGACCGTGCTAAACTTCCCTTTGTGTTGGTCGGAAAGTATATTTGGTCGTCGAGAGAGTGAGAGTGAAAGAGAGTGAAAAAGAAAAAAAGAGAAAGAGAAGGAGGAGAAAATGAAGGAGGAGAAACATCAGAAGAAGAAGCAGAAGTAGAAATAGAGGTACAAGACGAAGACGAAAACGAAGACGAATAATAATAATAACAATAGTAATGATGATGATGATCATAATAAGAAGAAAGAGAAGGAGAGAGAGA